AATTTTCGCATACCAACGAACGGTGACATATGCCACTGCTATCTAATATAAATTTTTATTTAACCATGTCTTATGCAAATAGACTATTTCATTCATTCGATTATCTACATTACGACATCACTTATGTCGTGTGTTAATCTGCACTTACAAGCCAGATTACACTACCAGACACAATCTAGACGGATAATTAAAAACACAAATAAATTTACAACCGTGCATTGCCTAACAAACATTAGATTCGTTCCAAACAATTTGTAATTAGATAATACGAAATCTGGACATGAATACATGTTAATCAATCTTGCGTATGTCATTTTGTTCTGCAATTATAGTCGCAGAGAACTGTAATCATTTCGGTTGTTTTATTTGCAAGCTTGTTATGAACGAGATTTAAAAAATTTGAAAAATATACTTGGACAATTGCAGCACGTTCCTAATTTGATTCTTAGAACGAATAGACTCATGGATATATTTAAGAGAACGCTAAAAACAGTTGAAATATCATAACAACGTTCAGATGATCCACTGGCCACATATGAGAGAACGTTTAATGGAAATCAAAAGACGATTGAAGTCATTCTTTTTTCAAATAAAACGTTCTGGTATATGTAGCCAGTGGTTTATGAGACAATTTAAGTTATTCTTTTTTCAAACTAAACGTTCTGGTATATGTGGCCAGTGATACATATGAACGTTGTTTCCTCTAATTATGCCGAGAGTAAATATTCTTTTTCTACTTCACTGTCATGAATCTACTGGACACTCTCCTGTAAGGAGAGGATCTAGTCCATTGTCAGGGATGCTGGTTCAACACGCGTCAACAAACTCAAATGATCGTTACTTCGTAAGTAAACAAATTGCACTTGGAATTGTCATATTGATTATACTGTACTATCCACTTTTATAACAGTAGAGCTCCTTTTGAAAGAGTTCCTCCAGGGAAGTTCTGCTGCCTTACCTAATAATAATAACAACAATAATGCACATACTCAACACAGCCCCGCCCTAGGGAAACCCTGCGTCGCGGGTGCCATGGACACACACATAGACAACCACAAATTACAGCCAAACTCACGAGAGAAATAAATGTAGGCCTTACAAATATTTCTCCAGGCCCGGAACTCGAACCTGGAATCTCTGCGTGGCAGTCCAGCGTGGTAGCCGACCACAGAGGCAGTAATGTAAGCATTATTGCGACCTGATTTAGAAATTGAATCTGGTGAAATTACAGGCACATAGGACTTGGCAACTTATGTTTCAGACCCTGAGATCTATGCGGTTTAAAGTCATAAAAAAATTAAATAAAAAAAGATTTGTTGTGTTGTTTAAATGTTCGATATGCCATCTTCGGTATGAAACTGAAAACGTTCATAGATGAAGAGAATATAATAACTTCGTTAATAAATAATCGCGTTCCATTCGCAATTAGTCACTTAACTTCCGTGTGATAATCGCTGTTAGGAGAAAGACAGCGGGGCGTTGGTACTCTACCTTTCCGGCTCTGTTTATGTTACCACTGTTTTTGTTAATTATTTATCAAACTTTTGACAGCGATGATGTTTAAATCATAATTGTATTTAATTACCTGTCAAAAATTTTAGAAATAATTAGTAAAAATTATTTAATTCACGACGTTGAGTCGGTCAGATAAGTGAGATTGTGATGAAATGCTTGCCAGCGACCAATAAAAAGAAAACATAATCATCAAAAATCAAAATTACTTTTATTTCGTAGTTAAGCAAATTACACTTCAAATTTTTCGTATATTATTATCATATTTATCGCAAATATAACATATTAACATATTTATCGCAATTATTAAAACCAAAGTAGACCGTTTATATAATCCCTAACAAAGTAATATCCTCGCTTTAGTATTTACATGATTTTTTAACTTATCAAGGGATAAGTTTAAAACAGCTTTCGCTTATTTAGTAGCAGCAGATCTCCTTGTGAAAGTGTTCGTCCAGGGAAGTACTGCCACCTTACCTATTTTTGCCGCCATGTAGTAATGTGAGCATTATAGCAGTTTTGAAAGGTAAGAAAGCTGGTGAAATTATAGACACAAAGGACTTTTCAACTTATGCTTCAGGGTGACAGGCGCAGTGGCAGTTCCCCTAAAATCTTTGCGATTTAAAGCTCTGAGCGGTACTGCAACTGCGGTAAGGACATAAGGACATAAGGACAGTCGTGTCACTTACCGTCAGGCGCACGACTTATTCGTCCCTTGATGTAATTGAAAAAAAGTTTCTGGAATCTTATTATAGAGAACCGATCGCGTACCTTTCTTAACCCTGGAACCTATAAAGGGCCCGAAATGTTGGTTTTGTTTGTTAAATAAAAAAATATACGCGATGTGGATCTGAAAACAAAGTTTCATTTCCAACCATTGACTCACGCTCCATGGTCACGGGTGAAACCGTTCCGAAATATCGGGAAAATAAAAAGAAGTCATACCGTGGCATTGATTTACAATTATATGGACGTCGGGTCGGCGCTAAAAAGTGTCCGCACTTGTAAGGCGCTAAAATCGTATACAGAGCGCCAAACACCGCTTTAGTCTTCATTTGTTCGACTGACAGCGCGATACTGCGATGACATTACAATTTAAATTTGGAATAGGTTGACTTGGGACATTTTTTTCGTGGTTTTTGTATTAGACCCGTCGTCCATTTATTTGTAAGTCAATGTTTCCAACCTATGATTTCAATATAAATCTGTGTTGAATTGCGTATAACGCGTTAAATATTTTTATCTATTGTTACGAAACGTAAATATCGTTCCAAATATCAATTTTTATAATCATTTAGCTAAACTAAACAAGCGTAAATAGAACTCTTAATATGTCAGCAATGTACGTGTCGGATCATCTCGCTGCGATCTCGTATCACGCGTTATTTGATGATATTCCGAATTCGCAGTTCGCGTTTTGCGTTACGCAACTGCGCCTGCCCCGCGGACACCAATAATGTCTTTTCTAATATGATTATGTGAACAATTTGTTTAACATATGATTAGTTTCGTAATATGATGGAGTTTTTTTTATTTATTGATATAATGATTGTTGTATTATTGTAAAGAATTTGCATTGCTTTAAAAAGCTTCAAGCGTGCTTCTGAACCGTATCGTTAATTCATTATTTTTTTCCATAATCACTGACCATATTATTTAACGTGTAATTAAATAACAATACATACACGGTACTAAATAAAGAACATAGTACACTAAATATGCTTAATATAGAAGAATTTTTTAATTATTTACATAAGTTGGAAATTTTTCACTCTAGACTCGTGTATACAATCTTTACGTCTTTTTCGCTTTTATCAAATTGACGTAAAGCTGTTTCTGATCGACCTAAAGCGTCGATGTATGAAAAATTTATTTACGCGGCAACATTTCCTCTTTGGAAGTCTGACAGACTTATAAAATCGCGTCATAGATGCCCGAAGTGTCATTTTATCTCTAGGTGTACAAGCGATATTCATATTCTGTCGGATTTGATCAGACTTAGTGCACAAGGCACATCCGAAGAGGGTCCGAGTTTTCTAGATTTGTATAGTTTTGGATACAGGGTGCAATCGAGCTAGAGACTATGTAATTTAAGTTTAAGGTATTATTTCATTTCTCTACAAGTATCTTAATATTGTTAATGGAGTGCACGAAAGAAGCCTTTCAACACGATGGCAAGAATTAAACTGTATGGCATCGATACAATACAAAGTAGAAGAAGTATAAGAAGTCAATGAAATTTTATTATTATCTAATGAAACTTATGAATTTAGGATACAACTAATCACAGCGAGGCTGATAGAGCTGAGGTGGATTCCTAACTAACCGCATCTTTCGGAGGTGCTTACGTTCAGCGTAAACGACAATCGGTCGCGTGAATTGCGGAGAAGACGACAACAGTACACGCAGCATCGCCGCGCGCGCAGTTACATCACACGCCGCGAAAGCGCATTGATCATTTATGAATTTGCATCGCAACAACAACTCATTCATATTCGCTCAATTTCCTTTTTAATTAAAAAAAACTTGTATCGATTTCGGCAACGATTCGTTCAAAACTTATCACGATATTCATAGACAGACAAACCGTTTCAATAATTGTTTTCTTATTACGAAATATTACAAGTTTGTCATTGGCTTGTTTATTTTTGGAAGCGATTTTTAATCTAATAGTTTTAACCACAATTTTTTTCGCCTCTATATTATTTTATAAACGGAACACCAACAGATTACACATAAATATATTTATAATAACCTTTACTGAAGTTGTTACGACGGGGTGAAGCTACATACATCTATTTTCGAATTAAAATATTAAGAAAACGAATAAAAGTTTTTGATAAAGTCTATCCACGGTTAAATTTGCATTGTAACAATTGCAATGTAATCCAGTCAGAGCTAGACGTAAACAATGTATCTCGGAAGAGAAAGGTTATATCATTCTAATCTAAAAGCTTGAGAAAATTCCCAAATTTCGTATCGTTGAATTAGTTACAATAAAGCGCTCGCGAAATGTTTTATCTTACGTATTCATAGGATGGTGACATAATAAATAATAATAGTATGGTAAAACTTTATAATATATGCGAAATTCATATGTATAGACTAAAAATTTAGATGTGTTCGCGCTTTCACCGTTGCGTCCTAATTGGGTAATCAAAATCAAAGGGCATTGGAAATATTATTATTATTATTATTGTTATTAGTAACATACACGAAAATTATTTTAATTCACACTGTATAAATAACTTAAAAGTTGACACAGAACGGACATAAACTTTTCCCAAAATTTTAAACTATAAACGCAAATTTCCAAAGTTTTCCGCAAGAAAATTTCACACGACTGAAAGTCTATAACCGAATAAATAAAACCGTGTAATCATGTACATTACGATACTATATAAAAGAAAGAAATACACTATTAGGCACACCTATAGTCATCAACAAACTTAATAATTAAAAGAAAAACAATAAAGCACATTACTCACAAGTCGCATGCTGTCGTCTGGGCAAGGGATCACTGGTAACACAAACTCGTTACACTATCCTCTATATGACACGGCAATAGTCGTATGCGCACAGGCGTCTGCGTAGATGCCCAAAGAGACACTGCCCGCGCGCAGCGACCTCAACACCCTGCCTTCGCCGACACAGCCCAAAACAAACGGTTGTGTAAAATGACACCCGAAGGTGACAACTTTACGTATACTTTCACATATTGTCGGCAATATCCTTTTTGTGTGTAAATATGTGAATAATTGTTACGAATGATTTTCGAATGTTGTTTTAACTGACGATTCGTGCACCTAAGTTTTAAATATCTCAGTTCTTCTTAAACCTTACAAGGCATTGGATTCAAATTAAATAAAAAATAGACTTTAAACTAGGATTTAATCAAGGACTTTAAGGATATTTTACCATACAATCGGTCCTTGTGTACCGACCCAGGACGGAAAACAATTATTAATTGACTAGGCTGTTCTCCGATTGCTATGACCCAGAAGCCCTCTTGAAGTACAAATGTAGACATGAAAATACGGTATATCATATACTACATAATAAATGATACAATATCGCACTTATTATCCAGTAGATAAAATATACAATGCTGTGTGCATTTTTATTACGTATTATTTATAATACAAATCTTTAACAATTTATTTCGGCATTAAAGTATTGGGAACGAATTAATCCATTTGTAAATAAAGGTCATTTGCTTAAGTTACACTATCCTTTACAATTCTTTTCTGGTAATTAAAAATAACGTACAGCCAACTTTCTACCGTACTTATCGCGTGCTGCATTAAGTTGAATTTAAATAACAGTCAATAATTAGAGCTCCTTGTGAATGAGGTCGTCCAGGTAAGTACTACCTTACCTATTTCTGCGGCCAAGCAGTAATGTAAGCATTACTGTGTTGCGGTTTTGAAGGGTAAAGGCTGCTGGTGAAATTGCAGGCACATGGAACTTATCAACTTATGTCTCAGGGTGTAGGACGCAGTGGTAGCGCCCCTGAGATCTTTGCGGTTAAAAGCTCTGCGTGGCACTGCAACTGTTATGGACAGGCGTGTTACTTAACATCAGGCGTACGAGTTGTTCGTCGTGTCACTTGATATTATACAAAAAAAAAGTCAATGTGTAGGTGTTAAGTGTTAAGCCATTTGATATTTACAAAACTTTCAAATTTTCAAATAGATTCGTTTGGAAATTACGGAAATTACATAAAATGAGTTTACTAAACAGCTGTCCGAACATCTTCGCTGTTTCAAAGGAACAATGAAGTGTTCTATATGGAAGCGGATACCGTATCAAAACATTGTGTTATTTGACCATTAATGCCGCTATTACTTGAAAGGTAAACCGGCACTATTGCCATCATTAAGATTTAAAAGCTGGTGAAATTACATGCACATGGGACTTGTCAACTTGGCATGGTGAATTTCAAACTGAACGCACATAAATTCTAAAAAACTCAGAGGTGAAGCAAGCCCGGATTTGAACCCGCCATCGTCAAATTCAATAGGTCACCCCACTAGACTACGACATTCTTTTATTATGGCTTCTTGATTTATTTAATTTTAATTGCCTTAATCTGGTTTGAAAAATATCTCTTGACTGCAAGTAGCAGTAGAGCTCCTTGTGAAAGAGTTCGTCCAGGGAAATACTGCCACCTTACCTATTTCTGCCGCCATGCAGTAATGTGAACATTACCGCGTTCCGGCTTTGAAAGGTACGGATGCTTGTGAAATTGCAGGACCATGGGACTTGTCAACTTGTGTCTCAGTGTGAAGGGCGCAGTAGGAGTGCCCCTCAGATATTTGCGAGTCGAAAAGCTTATCATCAGGCGCCCGACTTGTTTATCCCGTCTCTTGGATGCGGGGAAAAAAATCTAATTAATTATGGGTGCTGTTTAAAATAACTAAGTAGGTATGTATAAATCGAGTTCTTAGGTTTTCGCGATTGTTACACATAGGAAATGAAACTATTTTTCCGGATTTAAATCGCGTATATTTGTTTTTTCAAACAAACCGACGTTTCGGGCCCTTTACAGGTCCTATGGTCACAGTTGACTATAGTTACAATAGTTATTAGTAGTGAAAAAAATAGGGTGGTTTGCATCAATATTAGATATAACTGGTTGAAGACTGTACCACCTCAGTCAACCGTGACCATGGGACCTGTCAAGGGCCCGAAACGTCGGTTTGTTTGAAAAAACAAATATACGCGATTTAAATCCCGAAAAATGGTTTCATTTACTATAGGTATATATAACTTCGCGACTTTGATAATGTCTTATAAAGAAATTACTTTTCACACGTGTAAAGAACGCCTGAGAACCATGTAATCAAAATGAAACTTAGTTTGAACTTAGAATGAAAATGTTCTACAATAAGAAGAATTATTGATATGTTGTATTTTATGTAATAACATATATCACAAATTAATAACAAATAATCTCAGTACAAACCGACCTCAAAAGTTCATGGAAATACATCTATTTCCCAGATTTCCATCCCCAATTTCGCCACTCTTAGAAGTGGGATATTTTCTTCAAATTTAAATGGGAGTACTACTGACGTACCCTCTTTCCAACAAAAAAACCATCATCAAAACACAGAAAAAAAGATAACATTTTTTGAAGTCGGACAAACAACAATGCCATATGTACGCGGCGACGCTTGTTACAATGGAACCAGTTCGCTGAACTACAAAACAACCGCTCCAAGTGCTGGGATGACACATGTTTCCTGAACTGCTGAGATGTTATCTAAGTAATTTGTCTCTCGACGTATAAGTATAAATCGGCTTCATTTGACTCGCAAAACCACAAACAATCGTACAAAATAACATGATACAAGATGCACACAAAATAACAGTAATGACTTAGAATAATAACGCATAGAAACCTAGTCCGCACACGCTAAGTGAGGCAAATTGAAGCGCGCCCAATGGGCCTACACGAGCGGGCGGGCCTACAGTGCTCAAGGTCAACTTGCACCGCGAACAGATCAAGAATTTTAGCTAAAAATGACGAAATGTGCGGTAAATGAGTGTAAAAATACGTCAGACAAACATAAAATAGATACTAACATCACATTCCACAAGGAAGTAACGCGTTTCAACTTGTATTTTTATATAAATATTCACTACAACCGAAAATTAACCTACTACTAAAACTAGCCTATATGAATTTGATTTTTGCCTCACTTGTGACAGTTCGTTTGATATGAAACTATCATTCTATGCGTTATTATTCTAAGAGTAATGACATAAAACTAATTAAAAGGACAAAACAAAAAGATGTATAAATAAATAAATAATTATAAATATTGGACAACATCACATAAGTTGTTCTGATCCCAAAATAAGTAACTAAAACACTTGTTAAAATCGGAAACAACAACGGTTCCATAAACACCCAGACCCGAGACAGTACAGAAAAGTTAGTTTTCGACATTGACACTGCCGGGGATCGAACCCGGGACATCACAGATGGCGACACCAAGAAAACCAGTCTACCAGCCATAACCACGACGGTCTTTATGGTTGAAAGGTTCGATTCAACATCATAGGCATAATCTTAGGCGGATACATAACCCTAGGTGCACATGCAATAAAAATATTAACAAACTGTATTTCCCCACGAAAGCCGGTGGTTATCGGTTAAATAAATTCTCAAAAACCATTCTAATTGTATGGAAAGTGACACACGCAGTTTCCTCGTTCACAATGCTGTGCCAAGCATTTAATACCTCGTTTATGGAATAGTAATAACGAATTGCTTATACACAATTGTTCATTCATTCTACTTTTGGCCCAGTGGCAGTTTAAATATTGACAGCTGCTCTACCGCCTTTTTTATTCTGTGGCAGGTTAGTTTTTTAAATCATTGACAACTTTTCCACAAGACATATTGTGTTTTGGACCTTTTGATTGTATATATTTTATTTATTTATTTATTAGTATTTTTATGGCGAACGGCTACGGAGTGGAATTTCTTTGCCTGCAGACTTTTAACTGAAGAAAGACTGCGCAATTTTAATTGACTTATTTTCCCCAAATCTACCTGTTTAGGTTTTCTCAATCTGAAATAGAAAATAACCATATCACGGATGTGTCTGGCTCGTTCATAACTGGGTTGAAAAATGATCTTCGTATTTCTAATTAGATCGCAATTAAAAAAGCCACGATCACGACGAAGGCATTTACAAAATGAAGACTAATAAATTTTGAAATAATATTACTAATTGCTGGTAGTTGTCTATCTGATCAAGAAGTTTTGTATTTTAAGTTCAATATTATTTTAATTATATGCGAAAGACATAAATACTCCTTTAGTTGGATTCCCGTGAATCGTCCACCAAATCAATCAATATAATTATAATTTTGCATGCCAGATGCGGTAAAATATGAGATCTATCTCTCTACAGTGTTCTATCTCTTGTTCACCATATTTTAAGCAAATAAATTTTCTTTTTAATTTAATTTCATTTCAAAGAATAAATTTGGCTACTCAAAAGGGAAACGTTTCTGGCTTCCCGAACCTAACGCTAAAAAGCAATAAAAAACATTTTGATTTTTTATTATTATTTATTTGTCCAGCATTGCTATAGAGCCGTCCGCTTAAAAAGTTAACAAATAATTAAGAGTTCAACATAACATATAGAAATTAGAAAAAAAATTAAAGTAACTACAAAAACCCGCCATAATTAGCCTAGCTCCCGAACTAAAAAGATTGAGTAAAAAAGATAAACCGACAACGCTTTTGTGTGAGTTAAGAGTTAAATAATTTCTATCAATTACTCCGACTGAACCCATGAGAAACAGTCTACATGTACAAACAAACAAAGGGTAAAGTCCGTTGCGCAACTTTTTACGTAATATTTTCTATGAATGTGAATGCTATAATTGAATACATTTGGATATTAATTAGTGATAGCGACGAATTTGTAAAGCGTGTTGAGTACACTTGACTATCCATCAATGTGTCAATAGATCTGGTAATTTTTTATCTTGTGGAACGCTACTAAGCTTTGTACGTGCGTTATGGATATGCATATATAATATAATATATAAATACCTTCAAGGGAGTTGGAATCAATTTCAGATC